ATCACCATGTATAATACATAAGGGGGGATATGATCACCATGTATAATACATAAGGGGGGATATGATCTCCATGTATAATACATAAGGGGGGGGGGATATGATCTCCATGTATAATACATAAATGGGGGGGATATGATCTCCATGTATAATACATAAGGGGGGAATATGATCTCACCATGTATAAGGGGGGGAATGACATAAGGGGGGATATGATCTCCATGTATAATACATAAGGGGGGATATGATCTCCATGTATAATACATAAGGGGGGATATGATCTCCATGTATAATACATAAGGGGGGGGGGGGGGATATGATCTCCATGTATATACATACATGATCTCCATTGTATAATACATAAGGGGGGATATGATCTCCATGTATAATACATAAGGGGGATATGATCTCCATGTATAATACATAAGGGGGGATATGATCTCCATGTATAATACATAAGGGGGGATATGATCTCCATGTATAATACATAAGGGGGGATATGATCTCCATGTATAATACATAAGGGGGGATATGATCTCCATGTATAATACATAAGGGGGGGATATGATCTCCATGTATAATACATAAGGGGGATATGATCTCCATGTATAATACATAAGGGGGGATATGATCTCCATGTATAATACATAAGGGGGGATATGATCTCCATGTATAATACATAAGGGGGGATATGATCTCCATGTATAATACATAAGGGGGGATATGATCTCCATGTATAATACATAAGGGGGGATATGATCTCCATGTATAATACATAAGGGGGGATATGATCACCATGTATAATACATAAGGGGGGATATGATGTCTCCATGTATAATACATAAGGGGGGAATACATAATAAAGGGGGGATATGATCTCCATGTATAATACATAAGGGGGGATATGATCTCCATGTATCATACATAAGGGGGGATATGATCTCCATGTATAATACATAAGGGGGGGGATATGATCTCCATGTATAATACATAAGGGGGGATATGATCTCCATGTATAATACATAAGGGGGGATATGATCTCCATGTATAATACATAAGGGGGGGGATATGATCTCCATGTATAATACATAAGGGGGGGGATATGAAATTCTCCATGTATAAATACATAAGGGGGATATGATCTCCATGTATAATACATAAGGGGGGATATGACATGTATAATACATAAGGGGGGATATGATCTCCATGTATAATACATAAGGGGGGATATGATCTCCATGTATAATACATAAGGGGGGATATGATCTCCATGTATAATATAAGGTGGGGATATACATGTATAATACATAAGGGGGATATGATCTCCATGTATAATACATAATGGGGGGGATATGATCTCCATGTATAATACATAAGGGGGGGATATGATCTCCATGTATAAGGGGGGATGATCATGTTGTATCTGTGTTGAAATAAAGTAGTCTACCTTCTGGATTACTTCAAGATTGGTGTCTAGTCTTGTATGGTCAGCGGTGGTGTCTGTTGTCGGTGTTCGGATGGGGAAGCGGTAGTCTAACGGAAATATCCAAGCGCAGTCTGGGGTCGGTTCCGTTGAGGTACTGCAAAGAGAAATGGGGAGAAATTACCCAAAAATAGGTGTGCCAAGCTTGTAGCATCGTACTCAAAACAACTTGAGGCTGGAATTGGTGCTAAAGGGGTTTCAACAAAGTATTGAGCAAAGGCTGGGAATACTTATGTACATGGGGGGGGGGGGGTCATTTTTTATGTTTAATAAATTGCAAAGATTTAAAAACAAACTTTTTTCACGTTGTCATTATGGGGGATTGTTTGTAGAATGTTGAGGAAAAATTTTATTTAATCCATTTTGGAAAAAGGCTGTAAGATAAGAAAATGTGGCAAAAGTTAAGCGCTGGGAATACTTGCTGGATGCTCTGTATATAAAAAAAAAAGGAAAATCAAAAACATACACTTCCCACTTACAATATACTGTATACAATTTCCTCCCTTGTCCAACCGACTCCCTGCCTATACCCTCCGCTCACCGCTGCTGCCTGGTGGATCTGAATCTACGTCCAGGGCACCCAGGACTTCCCCTCCCTCGGACCTAGTGATTTCCCCTGCCAAAGGCACCTTCCTCTGCGGGTTATCCTGTCCCGATTTTCCCTCACCAAGACCACCCTCACCAGCTACCCGGGACAGACAAACATCTGCGTGTGTTTTTGAACCCTAGTACATTTCTCCTTGGTGATCCATATTGTTGTCCTGTGGAGTTTTCTCCATGAGGTGCCATGTTGTTCCCCAGTGGACTTTTCTCCTTGAAGAGCTATATTGCTGCCCTGTAGACTTTTCTCCATGAGGTGCCATATTGCTGCCCTCTGGATATTCTCCTTTTGGTGCCATATTGCTGCCTGTGGACATTTCTCCTTGTGGTGCCATATTGCTGCCCTGTGGACTTTTTTCTCCATTAGGTGCCATATTGCTGCTCTGTGGACATTTCTCCTTGTGGTGCCATATTGCTGCCCTGTGGACTTTTTCTCCATTAGGTGCCATATTGCTGCTCTGTAGAGTTTTTTCCATGAAGCCATATTGTTGTCCTGTAGATTTTTCTCCATGCTGTGCCATATTACTGCCCTGTGGACTTTTCTCCTTGTGGTGCCATATTACTGCCTGTGGACTTTTCTCCTTGTGGTGCCATATTGCTGCTCTGTGGACTTTTCTCCTTGCGGTGCCATATTGCTGCCCTGTGGACTTGTCTCCTTGCGGTGCCATATTGCTGCCCTGTGGACTTTTCTCCTCGTGGTGCCATATTGCTGCCCTGTGGACTTTTCTCCATTAGGTGCCATATTGCTGCCCTGTGGACTTTTCTCCATGCTGTGCCATATTGTTGCCCTGTGGATTTTTGTCCTTTTGGTGCCATATTGCTGCCCTGTAGACCTTTCTCCATGAGGTGCCATATTGTTGCCCTGTGGACTTGTCTCCTTGCGGTGCCATATTGCTACCCTGGGGACTTGTCTCCTCGTGGTGCCATATTGCTGCCCTGTGGACTTTTCTCCATTAGGTGCCATATTGCTGCCCTGTGGACTTTTCTCCATGAGGTGCCATATTGCTGCCCTGTGGACTTTTCTCCATGCTGTGCCATATTGTTGCCCTGTGGATTTTTCTCCTTTTGGTTGCCATATTGCTGCCCTGTAGACCTTTCTCCATGAGGTGCCATATTGTTGCCCTGTGGACTTTTCTCCATGCTGTGCCATATTGCTGTCCTGTGGACATTTCTCCTTGTGGTGCCATATTGCTGCCCTGTGGACATTTTCATCTTGCTGTGCCATATTGCTGCCCTGTGGACTTTTCTCCTTGCAGTGCCATATTGCTGCCATATTGCTGCCTGTGGACTTTTCTCCTTGTGGTGCCATTTTGCTGCCCTATTGACTTTTCTCCTTGTGGTGCCATATTGCTGCCCTGTGGACTTTTTCTCCTCGTGGTGCCATATTGCTGCCCTATTGACTTTTCTCCTTGTGGTGCCATATTGCTGCCCTATGGACTTGTCTCCTTGCGGTGCCATATTGCTCCCCTGTGGACTTTTCTCCTTGTGGTGCCATATTGCTGCCCTATTGACTTTTCTCCTTGTGGTGCCATATTGCTGCCCTGTGGACTTGTCTCCTTGCGGTGCCATATTGCTCCCCTGTGGACTTTTTCTCCTTGTGGTGCCATATTGCTGCCCTATTGACTTTTCTCCTTGTTGTGCCATATTGCTGCCCTGTGGACTTTTCTCCTTGTGGTGAATATGACACCACAAGGTGGAGGTAGTGTGTGGTGAATATGACACCACAAGGTATTGCTGCCCGGTGGACTTTTCTCCTTGTGGTGCCATATTGCTGCCCTGTGGACTTTTCTCCTTGCTGTGCCTATTGCTGCCCTGTGGATCTTGGACCCTTATGATCCAGCATTGTGCTGGGTTTACCTCCAGCTGGGTTATACCACTACACCATGATCTCGATTCCTGCTTCCCTTGTCCTCCTGGATTTCTACTTGTAGACCCATCTCTTGCTGCACCCCTCAAAGTTCCCGGATAAAGGCCCCAGAAGCCGTGTCCTGTGTTATTTGCCTCCATGTGCCCTCTCTCTGCTCTCCTAGCTTGTCACGCATGGCAAACCTTCACTTTATGAGTTCCGGATCTCTTCAATGTCTGTGCACGTGGGTTGGCAGCTCCAGCCAAGTGGCGTCTCTCATTGTCTCATTTCTCGGGTTTATACCTCTAAAATCTCCACTAATTATCAGAAGACCTCTCATACAAAATCAGTCCATCAATGGGCTGCTCCGGTGACTGACACTGAGCAGTTTTGCAGCTTCCTATTGTCTGAACAAAGCCGTGTCTAAGCCACCATTCCCTTCTAATCCGCATATTTCTGCATTTTTATTACTGTGAGAAGTTTCTAGGTTGGCCTGAACATGAATCAATATTTACATTAATAGCGCCTCACAGGCTGCAGAGTCATTTACAATACAGATCAATTCTGTCACGCTCCTAAGCTCCCAGGGATGCTGCCGCTTTCATATCCTGTGTGCAACCACCAAAGCTTCCTCGCCTGGCGAGTTGTAGCCGGCCCGAGACACGTCAGTCTGGAGTCATTAACCTACGCAGAGCCACAGGACGGCAAAGGGGCGCAGACGTAGGTTCAACGGTTCACAATCTCTAATTACAGGACTAATTATTATTCTGCATGACTGCGTACAAGGAAGCCATTTCTTGCCCTGAAAGCTTGAAGGACAGTTCCAGGGGCAGAAGAAAAATAAAAGCTTGGTCTTTGGCGTATCACCTGGTGTTAGAGGCCAATGGAGAGAGGGCTTTCCTTGCAGCTAAGTTCCAGACTCCCCTGGATATGGGACAGAAGAAGTCAGGCCCAAAGTAGCACGGGTCACCTGTGGGAGTGCTTGTCAGAGGTACACCCAGGAGCACAGCTGATGCCCTGGAATGGTGTCTGCAGACAGGTGGCAACCGTGAGAGGTTTGCAGGCTTTCAGGGTAGTAGAGGACCACAGAGTAGGCGGTTCAAAGCCAAGGTCAGATGCCTTGTGGAGTTTGGAGCAGACGTAATCAATAGGATAGCCGGGGTCATACACAGGAGAGCAAGTGAGAATATCCGTTAGCCAAGCCAAGGTCAGATCAGGAAAGCAAGTGAGAATATCTATGAGCCAAGCTGAAGTCAGATCAGAAGAGCAGGTGAGAACATCTATTAGCCAAGCCAAGGTCAGATCAGTAGAGCAGGTGAGAATATCTATGAGCCAAGCTGAGGTCAGATCAGGAGAGCAGGTGAGAACATCTATTAGGCAAGCCAAGTCAGATCAGGAGAGCAGGTGAGAACATCTGTTAGCCAAGCCGAGGTCAGATCAGGAGAGCAGGTGAGAACATCTATTTAGCCAAGCAAGGTCAGGAGAGAGGTGAGAACATCTATTAGGCAAGCCAAGGTCAGATCAGGAGAGCAGGTGAGAACATCTGTTAGCCAAGCCGAGGTCAGATCAGGAGAGCAGGTGAGAACATCTATTAGCCAAGCCAAGGAATCATCTGAGAACATCTATTAGCCAAGCCAAGGTCAGATCAGGAGAGCAGGTGAGAACATCTATTAGGCAAGCCAAGGTCAGATCAGGAGAGCAGGTGAGAACATCTGTTAGCCAAGCCGAGGTCAGATCAGGAGAGCAGGTGAGAACATCTGTTAGCCAAGCCGAGGTCAGATCAGGAGAGCAGGTGAGAACATCTATTAGCCAAGCCAAGGTCAGATCAGGAGAGCAGGTGAGAATATCTGTTAGTAACCGCCTAGCGGGGCCTCTAGCAGTCCACAGGATAGGATTTCCCAGGGCGCAGAGTCTAAGCCCCAGTCTGCTTGTTCACCAGGGCCCCTGATGGTGGGGATGGGCTTGGAGCAGACAGGGACCAGGTCGCGGCCCCTGAGTACACCCGTCTGTGGTAGAGAGATCCACCAGGGGTATGTGCAGGTAGAGAGCCTGATGTGAAGAGGTGGAAGATGGGATCTGAGCAGGATGGATGGATGGTGGAGTAGTAAGCATGGTCAAACAGGCTGGGTCGGTAAAAGTGGGATCAGTGTAGTACAAGGCGGCAGGCAGAAGAATAGTCAGGTCACTCGCTGGAGTCAGTAACAGAAGTTCAGATCAGGTATGGGGATTATCCAGAAGAGAGGTCAAACTAGCCAGGGGGTCAGAGCAGGAGAAGTCAGCGGAGGTCAGGTTCAGGCAAGGTCAGCAACGAAGCTCAAATAGCAGGAACAAGATCAGACCATACAGCAACTTGTGTCTGTGCAGAGCTGGTTTAAGTAGCCCGCCCTGCACCTGACAGGTGCAGCCTAGGACCTAGTGCCTGCCCAGCACCGTCATAGGTGCCAGGTGTGCCTGGGTCCTAGTGTCCTGCTGCCTGCATGTCTTGACAGACACCCACGCATGTGCAGACCCATGCGTCACGATGGTCCCTGACAATATCTGTTAGCCAAGCCAAGGTCAGATCAGGAGAGCAGGTGAGAATACTATAGCCAAGCCAGGGTCAGTGAGAACATCTGTTAGCCAAGCCAAGGTCAGATCAATAAAGCAGGTGAGAATATCTATGAGCCAAGCCGGGGTCAGATCAGGAGTCAGGCAGAGAAGACAGGTCCAGGAACAAGCCAAATCAGTAACAGCAGATCACAGTAGCAAGGGAACATGGACAAAGGTACTGGGGAGCCAGAGATCAACCAGCAATTTGCGGGAGTGATTGGCTTCCTTATAAAGGCCATTTGGCACCAAACTGGGATAATGAGTTCCTAACTATGCGCCAGTGCGCATGCGTGTTCTGGCTCGCGTCTGTGCGCCAATGTGCATAGATTTATGCCAGCGTGCATTTCTGCGGCCATGCAAGGTACTGGCAGGAATGCCAGGTCTCCGAGTACCTCTGCTGTGGACAAAGCCCTGACATGCCATCAGACAGCAGCACAAAGACCTATGATGGTGCTCTGGCCTGCCATTGGGTTGAAATAGGCAAAATGACATAGAGCTCTTAAGAAGGCAGATTGAGGGCTCCAGAAGATTTCTTCAGAGCAGAGAAAACTGTATTTTTTTAGGGGGTTTTGTAACTCACGGATTGGATTTTGGAATCCAGAGGCTTCGAAAGAGCTTGGGAGGGCAGATGCCTCTAAAAACCAGGTTTTACTGGGGACCAGCACGGTGTGTGTGCAGGTTTGCACATCCTTTAATATCTATGGTCTTGCCATAGTTCAGGGCTCCACCCGAGAGATAGGAGGGCCCCTGCCCAGGCTAGGGTGAGAGTGCGGAGTGAGCCCTGTGAGTGCAGAAGGGAGCTATGAAAGGAACAGAAGTGTATGCAAGGATAGAGGTGCTGTGTAATGGCCAGAGGAACCAGCAAAAGGATGGGTTGAAGACCAGAGCAGTGGTGCTGTAAGAGTGGCTTAGTGGTTAGCATGTCTGCCATGTAGTAAATGGGTCATGGGTTCAATTCCCAACCATGGCACTTCCTGCATGGAGTTTGCATGTTCTCCCAGTGTTTGCATGGGTTTCCTCTGGGTGCTCTGGTTTCCTCCCACACTCCAAAGACATGCTGGTAGGTTAATTGGCTCCTGTCTAAATTGTCCTAGTTTTATCCCTGGCCATGTGGGATCTCCTGGATGGTGGGGGTTGGGGAAAGACCTGGCAACCTACCCTGTATAATAATTGCTAAGAGAATTCATGGAAAAAGTTGTTTATGAGTGACGGTCCGTGCAATCACCAAGGGTCGGATATGACAGAATGGAGAGATAGATATACATACTGCATTTAGAAATGAGTTTTTTTTATATATGAAAAATATTTTTTAAAAATATATATTTTTTAAATATATTCTTCAGATTTTTTTTAACATATAAAAAATTCATTTTAAGATATATTTTTACATATATTTGTAAATGCATTCCGAAAATGTAGATTTGTATTTTTAAAGACATACAGTATATTTGAAAATGTATTTTTAAAAATATTTTTCATATATTTTGTAATAAAAACGTATTTCAACATACATTATATAAAAAGTATATATATATTATATATATTTATATATTTTTTTAATTGAAATATATTTTGAAATATATTGAATATGGCCAAAATTGTAGTATTTCAAATATATTTTTCTTCCATGTGGGTTGTCCCTGCTCTGTTCATTCTGTGCACTCAATCTGTCAGGAAATCCAAGCTCATGCCCAAAGAAATGTTCAGAATTAGGACCGTGTGCGCATCCCCTTGCATGTCTGAATGGACTTTGGGGCCCATGGCCTATTTAATGCCCTACAGCAGCGGTTCTCAACCTGGGGGTCGAACGACCATTTCCCAGGGGTCGCCTAAGACCATCGGAAAACACATATTTCCGATGGTCTTAGGAACCGAGACACCGCTGCTGTCTCCGGCGATGTGTGGGCGGGATGATATGCTGCCCCTGTCACCGCCTCCTCGCCGCTGATTGGCCACCGGAACTGCAGCTCAGGAGAGGCACACAGGCGGCCAATCACCGGCGAGAAGGTGGAGCTTGGAGAGGAGGAGCCGAGCGGCAGCGCGCGGAGATCGAAGAAGATCGAGGGAGCTGCAGGAACGAGTGAAGAGAGAGGCCAGAGAAGGAAGACAGCTGACAGGTAAGTGCAAATTTTGCTGCTGCAGCCAGGTATGCAGGTTGTAGATGGGAGAGAGAGAGCGAGCCCAGGCTGGAGCAGGAGTCAGCAAGGTAAGTATCATTGGTGTCAGTGGGAGGGATAGTGCCCCATCATTTGTGTCACTAATACCAACGATGGGGCACTATTCCTCCCCCCACTGACACCAACGATGGGGCACTATTCCTCCCCCCACTGACACCAACGATGGGGCACTATTCCTCCCCCCACTGACACCAACGATGGGGCACTATTCCTCCCCCACTGACACCAACGATGGGGCACTATTCCTCCCCCCACTGACACCAACGATGGGGCACTATTCCTCCCCCCACTGACACCAACGATGGGGCACTATTCCTCCCCCCACTGACACCAACGATGGGGCACTATTCCTCCCCCCACTGACACCAACGATGGGGCACTATTCCTCCCCCCCCCACTGACACCAACGATGGGGCACTATTCCTCCCCCCACTGACACCAACGATGGGGCACTATTCCTCCCCCCACTGACACCAACGATGGGACACTATTCCTCCACTAACGCCAATGATGGGGCACTATTCCTCCCACTGACACCAATGATGGGGCACTATTCCTCCCACTGATACCAATGATGGGGCACTATTCCTCCCACTGACACCAACGATGGGGCACTATTCCTCCCACTGACACCAATGATGGGGCACTATTCCTCCCACTCTTACCAATGATGGGCACTATTCCTCCCACTCATACCAATGATGGGGCACTATTCCTCCCACTCATACCAATGATGGGGCACTATTCCTTCCACTGACACCAATGATGGGGCACTATTCCTCCCACTGATACTAATGATGGGGCACTATTCCTCCCACTGACACCAATGATGGGACACTATTCCTCCCACTGACACCAATGATGGGGCACTATTCCTCCCACTGACACCAATGATGGGGCACTATTCCTCCCACTGATACAATGATGGGGCACTATTCCTCCCACTGATACCAACGATGGGACACTATTCCTCCCACTGACACCAATGATGGGGCACTATTCCTCCCACTCATACCAATGATGGGGCACTATTCCTCCCACTGATACCAACGATGGGACACTATTCCTCCCACTGACACCAATGATGGGGCACTATTCCTCCCACTCATACCAATGATGGGGCGCTATTCCTCCCACTCATACCAATGATGGGGCACTATTCCTCCCACTGACACCAATGATGGGACACTATTCCTTCCACTGACACCAATGATGGGGCACTATTCCTCCCACTCATACCAATGATGGGGCACTATTCCTTCCACTGACACCAATGATGGGGCACTATTCCTCCCACTGATACTAATGATGATACTAATGGCACTATTCCTCCCACTGACACCAATGATGGGGCACTATTCCTCCCACTGACACCAATGATGAGGCACTATTCTCCCACTGACACCAATGATGGGGCACTATTCCTCCCACTCATACCAATGGGTATCAGTGGGAGGAATAGTGCTCCATCATTGGTGTGAGTGGGAGGAATAGTGCCCCATCATTGGTATCAGTGGGAGGAATAGTGTCCCATCATTGGTATCAGTGGGAGGAATAGTACCCCATCATTGGTATCAGTGGGAGGAATGGTGCCCCATCATTGGTATCAGTGGGAGGAATAGTGCCCCATCATTGGTGTCAGTGGGAGGAATAATGTCCCATCATTGGTGTCAGTGGGAGGAATAGCGCCCCATCATTGGTGTCAGTGGGAGGAATAGTGCCCCATCATTGGTGTCAGTGGGGGGAATAGCGCCCCATCATTGGTATCAGTGGGAGGAATAGTGCCCCATCATTGGTGTCAGTGGGAGGAATAGTGCTCCATCATTGGTGTCAGTGGGAGGGATAGTGCCCCATCGTTGGTGTCAGTGGGAAGAATAGTGTCCCATCATTGGTGTCAGTGGGAGGAATAGTGCGCCCCATCATTGGTGTCAGTGGGAGGAATAGTGCCCCATCACTGGTGTCAGTGGGAGGAATAGTGCCCCATCATTGGTGTCAG